AGTTTATATCTCCAAAGATACACGGATTAAATAAGGTATTTAGTCCACAGCAGTCTGGATCAAGCTGTACATTATGTGAGAAGCTAAGGTTCTATCGCTGAGGTTCTAGAACTTTTTTTTTTTTCCCCAGTAAACAATAGCAATTCTCCTAATGACTCTGTGACACATATTTGTTAGATTTGCACTAACTATATGAAATGTGTCAAAAAGTCACCGGATATCAATGTGTTGTTTATAAAACAAGAACATGAACATGGTATGTTGTTCTACTACTTAATGGGATGTTGTGCAGATTGCTTCTTCACTCCCATAGTCATTCTCTGCCCTTTTTGCCATGTAGAGTCTCATGAGGGCCCCTTGCTCTTTGGTTTGTGATCAGATTTGGCCAATAGTAGGCATGGGGACATCAGAAAGCAGGAGAAGAGAAGTTAGGGTGTTTATCCTTCTGCTCCTGCCACACCTCTTGACTGCTGGTCCTGTTCCCTAGACTTTTCCTTCATGTCCACCGTGGGAAGGGCTGCCCTCTGTTGCTGCTACCTGAGCACCTCAACAGACACCTTTTATTCCCTCGATCTTGCCCACTCCTTTGCAAATAGTCCCTTAATGAACTTCTCTTCGGTTAAACTCTTGAGTAGAATCTATTTCCCAGCTGGACCCTGATACAAATAAAAGAGAAACAGAGAGACTTTTATTTTATGGCCTTCTAAACACTTAAAATTAGCCGTAATTGATCCCTGAAATGATAGTTACCTACCCAATATTTTAAAATTAGTCTCCTAGGATGCCTGGGTGGCTCCGTTGGATAAGTGTCCCACTGCAGCTCAGGTCATGATCTCACGGTGCATGTGCTCGAGCCACGCATCGGGCTCTGTGCTGACAGCTCAGAGCCTGGAGCCTGCTTCAGATTCTGTGTGTATGTCTCTCTCTGCCCCTCCCCTGCTCTCTCTCTCTCTCTCTCAAAAATAAATAAATCATTAAAAAAATTAAAATTAATTTTCCCAATTTTACTTAATTAGTTCTGTCTCAAAGTTACTCGGAAAATATTAAGAACAAATGTATCTGAAGAATTACCATAGGGGCACCTGGGTGGTTCAGTCGGATAAGTGTCCGACTTCAGCTCAGGTGATCTCACGTTGTTGAGTTCGAGCCCTGTGTCCAGCTCTGGGCTGACAGCGTGAAGCTCAGAAGCTGGAGCCTGCTTCAGATTCTGTGTGTGTGTCTCTCTCTCTGTTCCTCCCCGGCTGTCTCTCTTTCTCTCTCATAAATAAAGAAACATTAAAAAAAAAAAAAGAGTAACAATACTCTTCACTGTGGTTTTTGATCCTTCGGCATAAAAGTTTTGGAAGGTGATTTTATCACCTGGGTTATTTGAGTTTTTTTGTTTTTGTTTTTGGTTTATTTTGCCTTGTTACTTTTCTATCTCAAACAACAAAGCAGGGGCTTGCAGGAAAAACAAACAACTCAAATCCTAGGAGTCTTCAAAAGATAACCCAGTACATAGTAACAGGACATAACTAATCTTTCCAAAAGACAAAAATCCAGCAGTTACCAAATACATTCCAAAAAACCCTACTGGAGTATTTAACTTTCCTGGGACAAAGATACATCTTTTGTAGATAATTTTTGAACACATATTACAGGAAACGAAAAGTGAACACTAAAAATTCATTCCATTTCTCTCATGTGTAGAGAGTGTTTCAATTAGGAAAACTCAGGATTATCAGTTGATTAAAAATTTTTTTAAGTTCCTATATTTACTCCTTTTATCACTTTATTTATCTCTTCTACTATTTTATATTATATTACTTTATCGCTGCATTACTTTTATTATTCCCATCTTTCTAATTTCTTTGGTTTATTTAGCTCTTTTTAAGGTTTCCCCAAAATGAGTACTACATTCTTTGATCTGATCTTTGTTAAAAAGTTTTTTTTTATATTTATTTATTTCTGAGACAGAGAGAGACAGAGTGTGAGTTGGGGAGGGGCAGAGAGAGAGGGAGACACAGAATCAGAAGCGGGCTCCAGGCTCCGAGCTGTCAGCACAGAGCCCGACGCGGGGCTCGAACTCACAAACCGCTAGACCATGGCCTGAGCCACAGTCGGTTGCTCAACCGACTGAGCCACCCAGGCGCCCCTAAAGTTAAGATTTACTGAGTACAGTTTCTCCCCCTTACCCCTGTATTTTCATTATAAAATATCACTATTCTATTTGTTTCTGTGTATTTATTTTTTAAGTTTATTTTTGAGAAGGATAGAGAAAGGGAGGGACAGAGAGGGAGAGAGAGAATCCCAGGCAGGCTCTGCTCCATCAGCATGGTACCTGATGCAGGGCTTGAACCCATGAGCTGTGAGACTATGTCCTGAGCCAAAAAGCGAGAGTTGGACACTGAATCGACTGAGCCACCCAGGCGCCCTATTTTACTTGCTTTTTAAATAGTATGTAACTTTCTTTTTATTTCTATTTTTATTTGTAGATCCAAATGCATTTCCTTAATTTTACTGTGGATATATTTTATCATTTTATTTACTTTTAATTTAACTAGATTATTACCAAAGAAGGTGGCCTTTCTATACTTCTTTTTAAGATGACTTTTTTTTTTAAATTTTTTTTAACGTTTATTTATTTTTGAGACAGAGAGAGACAGAGCATGAACGGGGGAGGGGCAGAGAGAGAGGGAGACACAGAATCCGAAACAGGCTCCAGGCTCTGAGCTGTCAGCACAGAGCCCGACACGGGGCTCGAACTCACGGACCGCGAGATCATGACCTGAGCCGAAGTCGGCCGCTTAACCGACTGAGCCACCCAGGCGCCCCATAAGATGACTTTTTTTTTTTTGAGAGAGAGAGAGAGAGAGAGAGAGAGAGAGAGAGGAAGCATGACTGGGGTGGGGTGGGGGAGCAAAGAGAGGGGAGAGATTGAGAATCCCAAGCAGGCTCCATGCTTTCAGTGCAGAGCCCAATGTGGGGCTCGATCTCATGAACCATGAGATCATGACCTGAGATGAAATCAAGAATCAGATGCTTAACTGACTGATGCACCCGGGCACCCCTCTGTACTTTCTAATTTTTAGGATTGTCTTTACTGCCCTATAGCTGATCAAGTCTTCTAAGTTTTCCTGGACATATATAACAAATGTATACTATCATTCAATGGATCTAACTTTTTAGATATAGTTATTACATTGGTTTGTCAATTATGTATTCCAATTTTACGTGTCTTTCTCTTCCTGAATTCTGTCTGATTCTGCGCATTGAAATGTTCACAACGGTATTTTTCATCAATTTCTCTGTTCATTCTTAATAATTTTTATTTTGATATTCAGGTATTATTCTGTTTGGTACATCACGTTCACTAGATGTTAGTATGGGTTTATCACATCCTTGTAAGCAAAAACATTTTCACTAGATAATTCCTCTTTGACCTTGCCTAATGTTCCTGAATAAAATTCCACTTCATCACACAAATTCTTCCCAATCCTAGTTTATATTGATTATAATTGCTGTTACTACTCTGTTCCTTGAACTTCAACATTTGTTTCATTAATATAAATATGTCCCTTATCAACATCACATAACTATCTTATCCTTATTACAAACTTTTTATTCTTTTCAAAGAATTCAGTGTGCTCACCTGTAGGGCTAGACTAATATACTTGATTCATCCCTCCTGTTTCAACTTGTTTGCCTCTTATTTTACTTCTCTTCCTTCTTTTTTCCCGTACCTTCTGTGTATTGAAGGTTATTCCCTCTCCTAAGCTCATAAGAGAATGTTTCTCTATTATCATATGAAAAATATGATATCAAATATCAACTCTCTCCCAAGACACACTATTTTATCTCTATTTTCCTTACTCTAACAAAGGGAGTACATGTGCCTCAAATATTAATTAAATATAAGTCAGACTACAACTACCCCTATAAGAGAAATGCATTTATTGACTGAGAGATAAGTAATGAGGCTACATTCTAAAATATAAAATACAGATAACAAGGATACTATAAATCATGCATCTTATTTGAGAAATTTTATTGAGGGGATTCAAATGGGTTTAAATAAATCTGGATATTCATGATGATGTTATCCTAAGAGTAGTGGTATTATAAAAATTGTAGAGAAAGTGAACTAATGTGTAAATTTAATGGTTTCAAGATAAGTATGCTATCTTATTCTTATATCTTCCTTTTAAATAGCAAACCTTGATGGGTATTCAAGGAGACTTTATTTTTTTTAATTAAGAAATGAAATGCTCCACTGATTTCTGATATAGAAATTACCAGTGTGATATATGTTTTAATGATTTCATTTTTAGCTTTTTGTGGGATTTTATTAAACTAAGTCAAGAGAATTTTATGATTTATTAAAGTGAAGCTCATTTCAATTCACAGCACTTTTATTCCTAAGCCTCAACCACTATGGTTGAAAATATATATAATTAGGAGGAGATGAAGAAATTTTAAAATATTCTGTCGAGGTTAATATGCAAATTCAAGGTGGCTACATATAGAAATACAAGGGGCTACTGCAGAGTACTATAGCATAATACTAAGTAGTTAGTACTGCATATATTACATTGATTCTTTCTATTTTGTTGCATAGCTGTTGTACTGTTTATGAACTCTACCAACAATGATCTATGTAAAGCATTCACAGTAAATTTCAAACACTGTACTGGTTAAACAAATATATGGTGAGTTCATTCAATGTGATAGTCTAGCTAGGTGCCAAAAAGGATATCAGAAAATTGGTGAGAATCCCCACTCTGTCAGTAATTTGTGAGAAATCTAGATTCAATTGCTGATTTAAGAGAGACTATAATCTAACGTGAGTTGGGATGGGTAATGTGGGAAGGAATTAGATGAGAGTGGAGTGAAATGGATAAAACATGTACAAACACAGGTTGAAGTCCTCTTAGATATAGCTTTTTATGTTAATTATATTATAATAAAGTATACTCTTATATTTTAAAATTGTCTTCAAGCATCATTGTCATTTGACTTACTTTCACTTGTGGAATAATCCTGTGGGTCAAGTATTCCTGATTCCTGCAAGGATCTAATACAGGAGTCCACCAGCTCAAGACCTGTTGTAAGTTCATCTTCGATGTCTTTTTGACCATCTGAAACACAACATTTTAAAGTGATGAACAAACACATGATGCTCTTATTATTAAAGCTTCAGGTTACTCTTTAATAATGGAAAGTATCCTAACCAAAGACATTATCTCATGAGGTTCTCATTAGATTTCGCATTGTAATCCTTGGCCAACCAGTATCAAAAGCCAAGGCCAGCCAATTCCAGGTATCCATGAAAAACCCAAAGGTTTCTAGGGAATTGAGAGAACTCAACTCTCAGGGAATCACGAGCTATCACAGGAACATTTAATTTTAGTGTCATGGTGTTCTCATACTCATTTTTATCAGTCTTTTTTCTAAAGTTCACAAGAATATTAATCAGTAGACATACATGTAGAAATGGATGTAAGTTTCATCAAGAAGCTGTACTTTACCTTGTGATTGCCAGTGAAACTGCTCTTCTGCTGAACTGTAAAAAAGAGAATACACAGATATAATGCACCGGTTAGAAACCAAGGACCCTAGACTAGAAGACACAAAGATGCATTGGAGTAGCCATGGTGGCTCCACGGTGTGTCCTTTAGATTTTTACTGAGAAAAAAGATCCCATTTTGATACAATCTTAACTGTAATCCATTTGATGTAGATCTCTTTTGATTCACAGGCACTAGCGTGTTATAAATGGACACTGTTCACTAATTTTCAGAGAACAGCTCCTTTTTTTTTTTTTACAAAGCCCAACCTATTATACTCCTCTCTTGCAACAGCTTTTACATAGATGCAGTCCTACCCAATTTTAGTTATTTTAAAATACGAGTCTGACTAGTTTCATATAGACTTTGTGAGATTGTCTAGGAAAGAAATAACCTCCTTTTGCATTATAAAGAAGGCTCGATAAATTTATTCCTTCTTCTAGACATATCACATGAGCAGTTCCTTTCAGCTGATTATTAGTTCAAATTAAGTCATTTACAAATTATAACACTTTGCCACCAACTGAATATACAGTCCCGATTTCTCGCTTTACAAATACATCTTATAAGACGACCTAGGGAGAAAGTGTTGTTCATATACATGATGTGCCAAAGACAATGTGCAGAGTTCATCTATGAAGGCGACATAGGTTAATTTTGAATGATTTATTAAATATATAAATAAATTTAAAAGGTCTACATGTGCATAACTCTTTCATTACACATGCAAATACTTTCTACATGCCCCTTTTTATATGTCAATGATTGGTAAGAAATCTAGATGCCAATTACAGACCGGTATCATTTTGAGAATGATTTTCTACACTTATTTCACTAAATCTTTTACTCTGATCCAGCAGCTTCTATGAATAGTTCATCAGTTGCACAACAGCAAGTGGATTTTAGACCTTTAATCTGTACCTTAGAGGGGGCTTCTGGATATATTTACAGAGGGAAAAGGAAAGGGAATTCTGGTATGAATCAGTGTTCAGAAAAGCTGCGATCGGTATACATGAACACAAGAATAGTATCTTAAGGGACATGTGACTGTTTCCTGGGCATCTTGCTCCCTGACCAATCCATTTTATGAAACTGGAAAACAGCTGCACAATGGTGAAAACCATACACACAACTGATACATGAAATGATAACTTTACAAATTCAGTCCAATGCAACTTTTTCTTATTTCAAAAAGGTATGTGCCATATAGTGGTAATATGTTATCTATAAAGTTCCACACTTAAAACAGAAAAGTAATCCTAAGGTCAATATTTTAAAAGTTGCATGTACTGGTTCAGTTAGTAGCATTTTATTTTATTGTTTTAATAAATTTAAGTGTATGTATTTATTTATTTTTTTTTATTTTTTTTTGAGAAGACAGAGAGAGAGAGAGAAGGGGAGGGGCAGAGAGAGAGAGAGACAGACAGAATCTCAAGCAGGCTCTGCACTGACAGCATGGAGCCTGATGTGGGCTTGAACTCATGAACTGTGAGATCATGACCTGAGCCAAAACCAAGAGTGAGAGGCTTAACCAACTGAGGTATCCAGGTGCTCCAGTAAGTGCGATTTTAAATAGGAATAAAAAAAAATGCTTTCATAGTTGTAGTAAGTTGAATGGTGCCCCTCACCCCCAGGAGATATGTCCACATTAAATCTCTAGAAAATGTATATGACTACTAATGGAAAGCGCTTTTGAAAAAATATTTTTTAATGCTTATTTATTTTTAAGAGAGAGAGAGACACACACACACAGAATGTGAGTGGAGGAGGGGCAGAGAGAGAGAGGGAGACACAGAATCTGAAGCAGGCTCCAGGCTCTGACTTGTCAGCACAGAGCCCGACACCGGGCTCGAACTCACGAATCGTGAGATCATGACCTGAGCCGAAGTTGGACCCTTAACCAACTGAGCCACCCAGGCGCCCGGGAAAAAGTGTTTTAGTAGATGTTTAAATTAAGGGAAAGGTCTTCAGATGGGATCATCCCAAATCCCATGATAACTGTCCTTACAAGAGACACACAGAAGACAAGGTTATATGAAAAAGGATGAAGAGACTGGAATTAGGCATCTACAAGCCAAGGAATGCCTGGAGCCATCAGAGCCTAGAAGAAATAAGGAAGGATCCTCCTCCCGAGCCTTTATCGAGACCACAGCCCTGCTGACACCTTGATTTTGAACTTACAGCCTCCAAAGAGTTTGAGAGAATACATTTCTTTTGTTTTAAGCCACTCAGCTGTGGTCACTTGTTATGGCGGCCCCAGGAAACTGATAACAATATTTTTCTGGTACAATAAAGATGGTCTCATGTTAACCCTCTAGGATTTACTACTGTCTCTATGCTGCTATGTTTCTTTTGTCAGTATCACCCTTTACTAAGTGCTTACTGTATACCTTGGCTCCTCTGATTCCTGTCAACCACAATGGTCGTTTTGGGAGATGGCGAAAACGGGCTTATTTGGCGTTAGATAACTTGACCACATGGATCATAAGGAACTCAACAAGGATTTAAATTAATCCGCCAAACTCCAAAGCTCATATTTATAACTCACAATAAAACGTTGTGGAGGGAAACACACACTCAAGTGGCTTCCCACCGGAAACAGTACGAATAAGTCAACAGAAGTCATTGCATTCACCACTCCTCTCCTCGCAGGCGCAGCGAAGAGCGCACTTTATGCGCCTTTGCACGTAGATGGCGCCACCTGAGAGGAAGGGACAAGTGCCACTTCCTGCCCCACGCACAGAAGGGCAGGCACGAGATTTTCATGCTCTCTCTCTCTCTCTCTCCTAATCCCCCACTGAGATGGGTCCCTGAGTAGGAGGGAGGAAGATTTCTGCCAACCCAGAGAAGACACAGCACGAGTGAGAAATAAACCACTGTTGTGTGAAAACGCTGGAGCCGGAGGGGGGTTTGTTTCTGTTGAATAAATGTCACACTGAGTAATAGAGAAATGTGGCAGTGTTTGAGTTTGTAAGGTGTTTCTTGCTTCTCTATCTTACATTTCCGCCGTGGAGCGCTGGGAGAAAATGTCTTGGGTCACTCTACCACAAATAAGGTGGTGTGACAGCTTTTACTCATCCTGTGAGATGTATCTGCTCATGTACAATAACGGGTGATTTTATGTGTCAGACCACACATCAGAGTTTCCTATAATATTTACTTTTTGTTCATCTCTTTCAAAAGTGTTTCAATTTGATGATGCAACAGAAACAAGATGAGACATTTTTTTCCCCTTACATTTGAAAGAATGCGGTTCGCAGTGAATATGAAACTATTCCTCTCAAAGCAGAGGAAGCTTCCTTTTTGCCAGATAAAGAACATCAATCATTTAAAATCCTGATTCCTTTAGCACAGTTAAAATGCATTAAAAGTATGACTGATCATAGAAAATAGAAGTCCCAAGAGAGACCTGGTTTGGATTTTATTTCCATTAAGTGCTCACTTGACTCTCTGTTAGGGGATTCTATGCAATTGTATATCTTATATACTTGATTTCTTCTCCTAAAAGCTGCTTTTAGGTGGATGCTTTTTAATTTTTTTTTTCATTTTTTTAAAAAAAAATTTTTTTTTTCAACGTTTATTTATTTTTGGGACAGAGAGAGACAGAGCATGAACGGGGGAGGGGCAGAGAGAGAGGGAGACACAGAATTGGAAACAGGCTCCAGGCTCTGAGCCATCAGCCCAGAGCCCGACGCGGGGCTCGAACTCACGGACCGCGAGATCGTGACCTGGCTGAAGTCGGACGCTTAACCGACTGCGCCACCCAGGCGCCCCGTGGATGCTTTTTTAAAAAAGCAAACAAACTATTTATTTATCCGATAAACACAGATTATGCCTGCGTCTCACACATTCTTACTTCAAGTGTTTGGATATTATTCATGGTGAACTTTCTCCCAATTATATCATTCAATTTAGTATAATATAAAAGTTATTTCTGAAACACTTGTAACTTCCATGCATGTTCAATTTTAGAAGCTAAAGTTTGCTTTCACTACCAAAATGCTCTTTTTTCAAATAGAAGTAATCTGTAAAGAACTAAATTTAATAAAGATATAGACATAATTTAGATTAGCCAGTATGTATTTAAAGATAAAACTATGTACCAGTTCCAGAACCCAATTATTGTGAGAAAAATACATATTTGTAACAAAGATGACCTAACATTTAACCTTTAAATGTATACAGAAATACGTCCATAAATCAGTAGTGCTAGTAAACAGTTTAAAAACAATATATTAAAAGCACAACTCCTATTAGCTAACACATACCTCTAGCTTTCTACCAGGCAATATTCTAGTTGATTTACAGTTAATTTCCAAGACAACAGTTTTGAGACAGGTACTATTTTCCCATTTTACAGATAATGAAACTGAGGTAAAAAGATGTTCAGGAACTTGCTGGTGGTCCCACATCCAGCAAGCAGTGGAGGGAGAATTACGACCCTGGGTCTCTGGCTTCTAGAGGCCACATTCTGAACTACCATTCTATTCGCACATTTAGCGACATCAAAACTACACCCCTATGTGATAAAAGCAAAAACATAAACATAAAACCGTAAACTAAGTTGAAAAAACAAGCCATGTCCTGGGAGAAGATATTGGCAGCGCAGATAACTTACAAATATTGAAATTAAAATTACAAATATTAAAATTAAAAATATTAAAATACTAAAATTAAAATTTTCAGATAAAGATTAAAAAGGTCAAACAAAAGCAAGGTCAATATGTATACATATAGCTGATGCACAGTAGAAAAAAATCTAGAATGTATGGTTACTGAACATATTAAAAGATACTCAAGCCTATTAGCAATTGAAAGAATAAAAACCAAACACAGGCCAATTCTTTACACTCCACAGGCTGTCAAACAATTAGACAGTCTGACAATATTATGTGCTGGAGAGAAGATGGGTAACAAGAACTCTCATACGTTGCACGTGAGAATAAACCAGTCACCTCGGTGACAATGAGGCAATACTTGGTCATTTCCTATATGC